GCAGTGAACAACATGTACTTACAACCCTATCATATCGTTTCTTGTAATCTTATGTATTATCGGTTCATCACTTCTAGTGGTGACATGATATATGGAAGAGATTTAACTATAAACGTCATAGAATTATTATATGGCATATCACATACATTTAACCCTTTTCTGACATAAATATAAGAGGACAATGTTGTCCCTGGTGACGGATAAGTAAGAGTGTTTTTAGGGGGAAACTGCAAATTAACTATGCCCCGGGACCTATGCCTTGAATTTTATCACTGAAATACAATTTTTAGTATGAATTAGAACTGGAGATATTGTCATTTCATTGATGTATATAACTAAAAATAATGGTGCCAAAAGGAGCCTACCGTCCTGAAGGTACATAAAAGGGCTCCACATGGAGCCTATCGTCATGAAAGGGTGAAGCAACTTCAGTAATATTCAGAGGAATATGAAATAGACCTCAAAAACTCAAGACAAAAACATTGATATTTGTGAAAATACTTTTACTATTAATGGAAACGTGATTTGACTTTATTTCTAATACCTCCAAATTTTCTAATTTTTTTCCTCAATTACAATAGGTCGGAAATTGATGATAAATTTGATGAATTTTTGAAAATCGTTATTTCCGTGTAAACCAATGGGAAATGGCGGGTTCGGGGCAAATCAGAAATCAGGATATTTATTCAGTAAAAGATTTAGCAAAAAATATTTTTATATAGAAAATTGAATTGTGTAACTTGTTTTACACTAATGCCTGGGTCACATTTGCTCCGATCCATCGGCCGGCGCCCGGCCGATTGGGAGTTTTGCTCAATAGTGTATTCAATTCAAAATACTCAATCGGCCGGCCGCCGTAGTGAAAATCGGAGCAAATGTGACCAAGCCATAAGTGTTTGGTTTACTTGATGAATACTAAAGCTACATAGCTTCAAAGTCATTTTGAAAATCATTTTTCGTCTCCTGTGTTATTTCAATGGGAGAGCTTTTTTGAAAAACATTTTTGACTTTAAAGACCTATAACTTTGTTGAACCTGGAGAAACGTATCAATGTTTTGTTAAATAAAGTTAGCAAATTCAATTGCCTACCAAACTTGTATTTTTTGCAATGACTCGGATGGATGGATCTTCTGCCATATGACTTGCGGCAAACCTACCATTTCACATTGGTTAAAATGGGAATGTCGATTTTCAAATAATCATCAAATTTATCATCAATTTTCGACTTATTGTAATTGAGGAAAAAAATTGAGAAAATTTGGAGGTATTGGAAATAAAGTCAAATCACGTTTCCGCCAATAGTATAAGTATATTCATCCCAGGTTAAGTAAATAAAAATTCAAAGGTAAAGAGGCTTTAATACGTAGTTCAGTGGAGGAGCAAAGGTTGCCAAGCTTATGGAGGGAAGTGTGTATATATCTTTGTCATTTTAGGAAATTATCATTCGCGTTCCTACCACCCTACCATATTTCATGACCATCAGACCGATATTCACAATTTTACAGCACTTTGAACAACATACTTCAAGATTGGGCAATATCACGCTGTAGTCAAACCTACACAGTTGTCAACGAGCCAAATGCATTCTTCAGCAGGTATGGCCTGAATGGCACAAATTATCTCTTTTGAGGTCTGCAATTGCAATTATAACATGTAATCATGCAACAAATAGATTATTTACATTTTTACATATCAATTTCAATTTGTTACATTCAGATCTCTGTTTGTTTGATTACTGTTTTTACCATTAGATCTATAAAAATGTGCACTATTCAATAGGAACTGTTCAATTGTAACATCTTGGCAATTTTGTAGTACATCAGTCGTTCCTCGCAATAATATGTTTATATTGTAATATCCTCAGAACTGTTCACTAATTGAATAGAGTGAACAGATGAGTTAATAGTACAATAACGTCATTTCTAAGGGCAATATTAAACAAATACTGGATGATCAGGAGCTGGATATGGCAGAATACCTATTCGAGAAAAAATATTCGGCGAGGCGGCAGCCGAGCCCAATATTTTTTCGAGGATAGGTATTCTGGCCATATCCAGCTCCTGATCATCCAGTATTTGTTTTATTATGCACCTCCCAATCAAAGTTAAGTGGAGTACTTACTGGAGTACAGGCTTAAACTGTCGTTTAGTTGACATTATTTTGACATTTATTTATTTTTTCTACTCAGACGACTTCCGGCCAGTTTATTCGCTACACTGGACAAAAATATTTGCCCCGGGAATTTAATTTTTATTTATTCGAGACGTTCTTGCAGAATTATATGTAACTTTTGAATGATAAGGGTAATTGTGATTGATTAAGTGCATTTTTCTTCTATTTTCCGCCAGTTTCAGATGTAAGCTTTAAGTAGTACTCCAGTTATTAAGAAATAAAACTCTGAAGTGGGAATGTTGCAAAAACATTAAAAAATATCCGACCCTTTTTTCTTGAAAGGGTCAGATATTAAAAAAATATCCGGCAGTTTTCAGAAAAGAGCAGAGTATTGCCAAATTACAAGCAACTAAGAACCAATCAGATTTGAGTATTTTAATGAGGTGCATAATAAAGTGAAATATTGGACCGAGGTGACTATATCTTGTCCTACAATAAATGGGCAGGTTAGAGTATAATGCACACAGTGACTTTGTTCCGGAACCGTTCCGTTCCGAAGCCAAATGATCCGAACCGAACCATTCTGAATTTTTTGTTCCGTGACACCTCTATAAAATAAAGTATTTACATGCCAATGTCGTTTTGAAATTGAGAAACATGGTAGATCAAGAAATAAAGAGACTCTTGAATTGTCTCCCAATCCCATGTACTATGGCCCAATCATTTTCTACAAACACACGTGCTGCCATCTATTTTTCCATCTATCTAGACAGTAGGCCATTATTTGTGTTTGGCGAAAGAATAAAAGATGGCGAGACAGTGTAGACTTGGGATAAAATTAATTTATTTGCACATAGCCATATTTAGATAGATATCTCTCAGGAGATAGCTTTGTGCAAACCATGGGCTTTCAAGTTGAAAGCCCATGTGCAAACTAAGTAAGGATAAAAGAATGGAGAAAACAGATTTTCAATCGCTACGACCAATACCCATAGGAATAACTGCATAGGAATAAATGTATTGGAGCCAATCCCCTTCCCTTCAACTTAATCTGCTTCCGGGGGTACTTTACTATTCTAATGTGCGAAGTTTGACAGGGAGTTGCCGAGATGAGATACTGTAAAACGGGTAATGTTAGCGAGGGGTAATTGTTAGCGATTGTTAGCGATCGCTATAGTTTCGCTAAAAATTCAATTGCTAAAATAAACCGGGGTTAAAATAAACCGGGCGCTAAAATTTGTAAATTCCCGGGAAACTACATGAATACTAGTATTTAAGGAGCTTTTCGTTCAGTGCTCGACTTCCGGTTTGTAATTTGAAAAAGGTAACTATTTTTAAATCGTATGTTTCTTTCAATATCTGAAGGATAAATAGCCATCCATCCAGTTTGAACCAATATCATGTGCGTTAGAAGTCTTACATTTTGATAATTCCTCTGTCATGTCCGTTATTCATTCTTCGGCCATAAATGATAAAATTTCTAATGCATTTCGCTAATTTGATATTTTAAAGATTAATCTTCATTTCGCTAAAATTTCCCGCGCTAAGACCCCCTAATATTGAAAAATCGCTAAAATTTCCCGGTGTCAAAATTACCCGTTTTACAGTATTCCAGTTCTTGTATAGATGTCACACGAAAATAAATCTAAGAATTTAAAAACCTCGTTTGTAAAATATAAGATATTCACTGCATTTTAGGGGCGGATCTGAAAATGAAGAGGCGGTGCCAAAATTATCTGCTCCTATCTGGAAAAAGATTTTGGGCCCCCGGGTTTGGGCCCGAATTTTGAAATGTTGGGCCTCGATCTGCTTGATCAGACTAACAATAATATGCCCAGTGATGCCCGTTTGCTTCCTAAATTGCCCAATTTATGTTGAGAGCATTTGATTTTGTCCCAAATTTTGGCCTCAATTTTTACATTTCATAATGAACATATTCCACTATTTGAGGAGGATAAATGCGTTCATTTTATTAGTATTTATATTTATATTTTATATTTATTTATTGACACAACCTAGTAACATATTACATTAAATACATACATGGTATCGTCATGCTATGAAAAGAAAATGAATGTACAGTTTATATAATGTAAAAATATTATATATATAACTATCTATCATCTATTATCTATAATACTGGTTACAAAGATCTTTTTCTGAGGCATACAGTTATGAAGTGTGAGATGTCGCTGAGGTTAGATTTGTAGTTCATTATGTGTAAAAATTTACTTTCATTAGTGTGTTTAATGAATAAATTGAATAAAAATCTGATTGTTGTATCAGAAAGGGTAAACGTCTTCTGGGTCACTGTGAATGGCATCCATGCATACTGGAAATGTTTCGTGTCGTTCCACTACTGCTAGTGCGTGGGGGCTCGCTACCATATTGTATAACTCTCGGGGTATACAGTCTACTAAAGCACGTTAGTGGAGGAACCAACCACAGTCTCACAATCTGTCCGACTAGACGGCGGCCGTAAGAGAACCAACCCATGCCAAGGACAAAATTTTGAGCCCAAATATTTTGTTGGGCCTCAATTCAATTAGTGGGCCTTTTTGGCCAAATCATTAATATTTGATTCATTTTGGATTTAGGCCCAAAATTTTATTCGGTGCGCCCCCCCCCCCCCCAATCCTATTGCGGACACACTAAAATCTAAAATGGTAGAAGGTTTTCATTACCACTACCATTATTGAAATGAAAACAATATGTAACCTTTTTCAAATAAAAAGTTTCTATAGTCATTAGCCTATGAATGCCAGTCATTGTAATTCCAACTTACGGCGCGTGAACTACACAAGCGGATTGGAACGTTTTCTTGGTCCACCCTGTATACCAATTAGACTTGGGCGACATCTTTTGATTGGAATTTTACCCAGCATGCACTGCGAAGGCTAGTCTGTGAAGAAGCTAAAAATGGAGCGAAAGTTTAGTAACTTTTGCCGGACTTTTAACGTGGTAGGATCAATTAGGAATCTCAAAGTATTAATTGGATTAGTTTCTTTAGGATTACTCCTAGATGTATGCAGAGCTCAGGGAGGCAAGAGTCGTTGTTATGACTCGCAAGGACGGGCGCAAAGATGCATGCCTGAATTTGTGAATGCTGCTTTTAATGTTCCAGTCATTGCCACAAACACTTGCGGCGAAAAAAGTATTTCTAATGAATATGGACGGCCAATTGAGTACTGTTTACAAACGGGTGTTACGGGAGCTACCAAATCTTGTTCTACTTGCGATGCAAGTGACCCAAGGCTTGCCCATCCAGCTAAATATTTGACTGATTTCAACAACATTGATTCTATGACATGGTGGCAATCTGAAACAATGTTACAGGACAATGTGCAATATCCAAGCATGGTTAACCTTACCCTCAATCTAGGTACGTATACTCAAGCTTAACATATAAATCTACCCTAATATCAAGTAATTTTGCTGGTATAATACATAAGGGAGGGGTATTCAAACTTTAAAAAAAGTTTCAAAGTTTACAAAACTTTTACTTTGATAATGGCCGCCCACACTGAGCTGTCTGCACTGAAAACCACAAAATGTGGTTTGGATTAAATTGCTATTTTGGGTTCGTGCCATACTAACAGTGTCAGAAGTTTTACTGAGGTAAAGTACAGGAAATAACTGCAGTTTCCGATGGAATCCCTCAGTTGTTGGTAAAGTTGCACTAATTTCCAGATATCAGCTTGGGACCGAATTTAGGCAGTAGTACTAATTCTTTCTCTGACTGCCATTTCAGCAGTACAACATCACCTTGCATCTGAGACAGAGAAAAGCACTATTGAAATGTTTTAATTATGTCATGTCAATCATTCATTCATCTTTTTCATCCTTTGTGTACATGTATGTGCAAATATTTATATTAGTACATTAGGACACTTTTGCGCATTGTGTTACATAATCCTGGGTTCAGCCTTTTACATTATTATTGCATATAAGAAATCTATGCATAGTGCATGGATTTATTTATTTGTAGAAAGTGCTAACACCTGTTGACTCTTTTAGGGGGGGGGTGACCTGTTGTTATTTGTATTCATGTTGCGTATCTTGAACATCATTCAAAGTTACTCAAATTATGATTATTACAATTTTATTATCGAGGAAAAGATTGAAAGACAGTTTTTATAAACAAATTTTATTCTTTTATATGCCACTCTTTGTGAAAAATTGGTTTCATTAACTTCATTAGGTAATAGTGTTATCTCTTATTTTGAGAGTGATAAGAATAAAATCAAACTCATAAAAAGGGTATTTCTTCTTGATGTGATTTCCCATTTGTACTACCGTTTGGAGTCCATCTCAAACAGTTTGAATGGTAAATATTATCGCTATATATGATGATGTTGGAACACTGTTCTCATCTCTCCAGGACATTGGGAGGGAGTTGTTGCTAAGGATACCATAATGATGTTTAGGGGTGTAGCGAGGCATGAGGCAAACGCCTCACCAAAATTTAACAGAAATATTTTTTTTTACATTGTTCAAATTTATTTCCATTAATCAATTCAGTAGTTTATATATGTTCAAATTACCATTGTTGACAAGTCAGCATTATTGGCAATCGAAACAATGTTGATAAATAAAAAAATTGATATCCAGAAATACACAATATGTTTAGAGAATAATTTCTCTTTATCAGAAATATAATCTGTTTTTCAATTAGAACTGATGAAATGAAGTTTAAAGGTAGTTACATTCCTCTTTTTATACATTCCTCTTTTAGCCTAAATTTAGATGCTGCCGATTACATCCCATTCCCTCCCCAATACAGATGGTAAAACAGTTTTACATTCAGATCTTTCATGTTTTATTGTGAATCAGGTTAGTTATATTCCATCTTCGTTCAACCGTGATAAGGCTGTGTCTTACATGTTTAAGTGTTGAAAGAAAACTATGATGGCTGTCTTTGAGTATAATCAGATAGCACTGGCGGATCTGAGGGGGGGGAGGGGGCAGAAAATAAATTTGGCCCAAAACATTTTTGGGTCTAAGCCCCAATAAGTGGGCATTTTAAGGCCATATATTTTTTATTAGACTTGAAATTTGGGCCCCCATTGTTAGTTCCCATACCCGCCCCTGGATGTAGATATAACCAAACTTATCTAGAGCTTGAAAAATATACCGTTGGTTTGTTCTATCTCTACAAAGTATCTGACCAGCAAAGAAACCTCACAGCTTATGTTTCCGGCCATGTGTATTGAGAGATAGGAAATTGCTAATTGGTGCAGAGAGGATATATTTAGCTTTATCTATGCCTCCAGACCGGCAGGTCAAGTTTCTTACCAAGCCAGTGCTTTCTTCCTAACTGTATGCAATGTAGAGTATTGATATACCCATTGTACACATCCATGCTATATTCTTAGAATGTTCCATATATGTAAATCTAACAGACAAGCTTTTGTGAATTCAGAGGAAAACTTTATTGTACTGCACTCTTCTCTACTGTACTATATTATATTGTACTGCATTGTACTCTACTATATTGTGCAGCATTGCAGTGTTCTCTACTGTACTATATTGTACTGCACTGTACTCTGCTGTACTGATTCCGATCCTTATAATTGAAAATCCGTAATTATTCACATTTTCTTTGATGTTGACTTTAATTGGTATATGTCACCTGTTTTTAATTGTTCCATTAATGTGTTATCATACCTTGATTAACATTTCATTTTTTTGAAACAACATTATTTAATATGCTGAAGGTGGAATTTCAAAAAAAACAATATTTGGTACATATTATACTGTTTCTGTTTTCTTGGTTTTCAGGAGCAATTGGGTCATTTTGAATTTCAAGAAATGAGTACTGAGTAGGCCATAATCAGGTTATAGATAGTGTTGAAATAAAAAATGTGAGCAATTATAGAAAATGAAGTTACCTTATATTGGAAATTTCAAAACTGTTAACATGATAATTTCAAAATTATTAAAAATTCCGTATTTGGCTCTAAAACTCATCATTCACCCCTCCCCTCACAGAATAAACTTAACAATTGGTAACACGTGCGTATCATCATGCCCTAACACTTTTGATTTGTCCAGGTGTACATGGACAATAGTTCAAAGGGGTTGCTTATTATGTCTAATTAAACTGCAATTGGGGTACTAATGTCCTTTATCAATGTTTAGTGTCATGACCCCATCCTAAATGGTCAAGTATTCGTCTTCATGCAGAACAAATTGTTTCCCAAGCTGCATTCCCCTTGCAGAGTAAGCAGTACATCATAGAATGATCTGTTGGAGGGAGTGTGGAGACTAGAATTACCCTTTACGGTCACATGGGCGGGGGGGGGGGGTGTACCAATCTGTTGATCATAGAACCATCTTACATTTTTTGGTACAATTGTTTGAACTATTTCTGAGAGGTCTTAGACTTTACTAAGATAGAAACAATGGTATGGCTTTGGTAAACAGGGTACTAATTATAAGTTTTACAGTTTTACATCAATATTGAAACATTTCATTGAGAAATAGTTGAATTGTCGAGATTAAGAGTGATTTGCCAAGGAGGGGGACGGGGGCTGACAGGAGCTGTAACATATTCATTGAACTTATTTTCTTCTAAATGCACTGTTTGTACTTTGGCTTTTTTTATTTGAAAAATAAACACGAGTTTCGAATTTCATTTTGATTGTCATCAGTATCCTTGGAAAACATACTAATTAGCTTGTGATTGATACAATAACATGTATTAATTTAGTTGATACATCCTGTTATTCTTCAGAGTGTTTTTCTCAGGCATGTATTAGACAATAAACATCTTGGAAGAACTACATACATGTATGTTCTAACCCTGGGGTCTTTTTATGGAACCATCGTAACTAAGATTTGTTGCTTGTCATGGTTCAACGAAAAGTAGACAATGGAATCATAAGTTAGGATCGTACCAAAAACAACCACTGAGTATTACCACAGGCTGGTATCGAAAGATTTGTCCGCTGTGACGGAGCATGCTATTTTTCATAAAAACACTAAGAATGCTTCATGATTTATTTTTTAACTCATATGTTTCGTTATATCAAAGATAATTACTTACTCCATGCAATGGATATATCATTTGTGTGTAACCTTCACTTCTGTTTGAAGTCCAATAACGCTAGGAGTAAAATCTATTGAAAACGGCGCCAGAGTATCAAACTCTAAAATGTACCATTTCTTTTTTAACTTTTTAATGGCATGATATAGTGACACGATAATATTAACATATGTTTTAAGCATAACTCTGAATGTATTAATGAGATATTAATGCATTGGGTCTCTTTAATTTTTTTAATAAAAAATAATATTAATATTTTTTGTCCGCTGTGACGGAGCATTTTCACAGTTCACATTTGCAACTGCTCCGTCACAGCGGACAAAGAAATTAAACATTATTTTTTATAAAAGAATTAAAAAGACCAAATACATCAACATCTCATTTATACCTTCATAGTTATGCTGAGACCATGTGTAAATATTATCGTGTCACTATATCGTGCCATTAGAAAGTTAAACAAGAAATGGTACATTTTGAATTATGATACTCCGGCGCCATTTTCAATAGCTTTTCTTCCCAGCGTAATTGGACTTCAAACAGAAGTGAAAGTTACACGCAAATGATATATCCATTGCATGGAGTAAGTAATTTTGTATGGTATAACGAAACATATGAGTTAAAAAATAAATCGTGAAGTATTCTTAGTGTTTTTATGAAAAATAGCATGCTCCGTCACAGCGGACAAATATTTCGATACCAGCCTGTGATTACAGCCATTTGTAGATGAAGTTCTCTTTTACAGAATCAAACTCGAAACTACATGTTGGAAAGTGTATGTTTTCCTCAGATAACTGTTTAAGGCAGTATGGTAAAGCATTGTACTATAGCTATAATAAATTGGCAAATACACTGCCAAGAGACATAAACTGAGATAATACATAAATATATGTTAGATTATCATATATTACCCAATTTCTCTGAAACGGGGCCAGTGTCTGGACTTTAAGAGGTTTGCACCAACTGTGTTGAATGAACTCAATAGCGAGCTAAGTGAAAATATGCATTCGACCAGATTTTACATTGAATTTCCTATTGAAACAGCCATACTGAAACTCCAAGTCTAATAGCTCCTGAAGTACAATCAACATTATAAGGGGGTGGGGGTGCTTTCTATTCTTCCCTGTGATTGAAATCAATTTTTCGTATTTTCAATTCATAGCTGTAAAACAGAACGTTGAGTGTATAGAATAGTAAATTATGTTTGACAAAGTGGTTTTATAGTTTATTGCAAAGTGTCCTCATATTTCTGTCTTTAACAGAAAAATATGTTTTACTGCAATATTTGTCCTAGTTCATTGATAAAATAGATCATTACCCCCCCCCCCCCCCTCCCATTTTAACCCTTTGACTTCTCAAATCGACTGAAAATCAACTCACAGAATTTTCCAACAAAATCGGTATCACCTTGACAGTATTTATCATCTACCCACAAATCATGTTTTAGAATATGTTTAAATAATATTTACTAGATCAACAACTTGTCCAGAATACATTATGTATTAAAGTAACGAAATATTATATACTGCCCAAAAAATGGTTTGATATCTAATGGGTTAATTTCCAACTATGAAATGGTCAACTCAGGGCCAATATATAAATCAAAATAACTTCACTTATTTACTTAAATACACTTCAACTCTGATTTTCATTCATATTTTTAAACTCTAATCTGTTTTTATGAATGTATAAATACTCTAGTTTATCACACTTTAACATCTTTTTGACATTTTAACTGTATATGGACACTGTGCAGGCCCATATTTATGTTTCAATATTGGTAAGTTGCAGGTATACATGGTGGTATCTGTAAAATGAAACACCTCACTGGAGAAACCGTCTCGACTAGCTTCAGCTTTATCGTCAGCTGAATATGTTGAAATCAATCTTGTATCACATCTTTGTCCCCCGTCCCCCCATAAAATTTGACAAGATCTAGAGGTAATTTTATCTGGATGGGGTGAGAGGTAATCATATACTGGAGCTTAGCCATTGACTATAATGTATTGCAATTGCATAGGTCTCTAAGTCTCCCTTCACTCCTCATCTAATTCATCTAAACACAAAAATAATCTTAATGGGGGGGGGGGGTCACAGAGCCTTGAAGTAAGAGTGCATTGAAAAACTTTGGATGGCAGTATAAGCACCAAATTGTGAAGATTATGCCACCATATGGAAGTATTGCTCTCTATCTTGAAATGTGTTTGATATCAAAGGGGCATTTGTGTGCCTTATTTTGTAAGACCCCCCCCCCCCCTTCCTTCTATGAAGGAAACAATATGGTTTCAACATCCATGAACATCAGTGCCTACTATTTATAAACAAAAAATTGAAATTGGGAAGGAAATAGCTTCCCATAGCATAAGAAATGTATATCACTCAAGATTTTTTCAGTTTCAAAAAAAGTTTGGCAAATTGAATCTTATGGTATAAAAAGATAAGAAGTGAAATCTTAAGCAAGTAAACTAGTAAGTGTTTGTCATTTTAACCCATAACTTGAAGTGCTCTCCAGAAATTTTGATTTGGAAGAATGACATTTTCTAAGTTTTATAAATTTTGTAACCATCTCCCTCCAGGTCCTCTGAATTTGTTTACTATCCATCAAAATGTGATGTGATTATGGACCTTGTGTAAGCAAGTACCCAAGTCAGACGAAGCTCTCTTTTAAGAACCAAAATCCAACTATTAGAGATAGTAGCTGGCAAGATCATCGCATGATCTAATTGAAATTTCCCCAGTATCTTGTGAACTGCAATTCCAATGTAGAAGGTTTGGTAAACACTAATTAGTGCATCCTACCTTAATAGCCACTGTATCTGTTTACTTAGTACATAGGTAAACAGATGAACATAAGGTAGATAAGTTAAACTCATACCTTCTATTGCACAAGCTTGAGTCTTAAGAACAAAGCTTGTAATCTCATTTAAGCTTTTTTGCAGAATTTTACTGTTAGTCTAGAATGAAGTCGTCCTTCAACACTTTTAACCCTTTATCCTCCATACTGGCTTTCCAGACTAAAAACTCTTAACAACTAGCTACTTGATTTGAACTACTATATAACTACTTGGTTTGAACTACTATACTACTTGATTTGAACTCTAACTATTAACTTCTGTTATCTTATTCAATGGAGTAGGTTCATTGGGTTTCAGAAATTCTGGGAAAATGGAGGGGAGAGGTTTCGATATTGTTGCATTTAGGATAGGAGGTAAAACAAATAAAGACAGTGTATATGATTTGAATTAATGATAGAAAGTAGTTCAACAATTTCTCAAAACACGCAGGAGATTTGGCTGATAATGCTTGAGAAATCCCCCCCCCCATCCCTTCTACCAGTCATGTACATGATGTATATGGATATAGAAGTCATTTCTTGTGAAGTACCATCATAAATACATCTAACCCAATCTCTGTTATTATCTAAGAGGTGTATATATACAAGATTATGTCACTTGTGGTTTTAGTGATAAATATTTGATCATATTTGTATGATTGAATCAACCTATTAGAATAGGTAAACATCATGTACAGGGTGTCCAAAAAGTACATGCTCTCTATCTATCATTGAACACACAACCTTCTCATTTTCTCAGGGTAATACTATAATAAATACCCTAAAATGTAACATGCATGCACTTTTGTGGGATAACCCCGTATACTCCTTAAAATTTAAATGTATCTTTAATCTAGTTCTTATTAGAAAATGTAATTATGTTAAGAAATCATCGAGATATTAACAGCATCAAAACTGTAAAATATTATCTGACTTAGTTGAGTTCCTGGTTGAGTCAGAAGCTTGAAATTAGGAGCATAGTTTAATATAAAAACATATGACTTTATTAACCCATTACTAGTATATGTCTTATATACTCTAATTTTCAATGATTAATGACTTCAAAATACTGCACTAGAATTATTTCCTGAGGAATGAAGGAACCTGTGGTTGATGTCTAGATCCCTGTGGTAAATATGCTTGGATGGTGCTACCAGGAATGTATGTGCTAGTCTGCAGATTCATTGTCTTGTCTGTACTAGTGTTAACTATCCTGATAGTGATATCCATCGCATATCTTTTCTTTTAATAGTTTCCAAATGAAGAGATCACCATGGTAACCCACAATGAGATTCTTGTCTTGCATATGATCTCATTCTATCCTTCCCCATGCTATCTATTTCTCAATTTCTGAGAGGTTTCTCCAACCTTTGTTGTAGGTTCCGTCAGTGGCTTATTGTTACATCTGCTTTATGATCCCACAGATACTTGACCGATATTGGCAGGCCCGTAGCCTGGATTTGCCAAGGGGGGGTCAGTTTTAAAAAAATTTCAGGGGGGGGTTCATATTTGACAATTTTGGCCAAAATATGGCTAAAATCACTTGAGAAGTGCTCAAAATGGTGAAAAACTGCATGATTTTGAAAGAATTTTTGGCCGGGGGGGGGGGAAACCCGAACTCTGCAAACCCCCCCCCTGGCTACGGGCCTGATTGGTATATACCCTAGAAAAAGTGATTGTTGTAACTTTTGTTATCCTAAAAACTACGACTATTGGACATTTGACTTTTTTCTGTTTGCAGGAAAATTATTTGACATTACCTACGTGAGATTAAAGTTCCATTCGAGTCGTCCCGAGAGTTTTGCCATCTATAAACAAGAGACTGAAGACAGCGATTGGCTCCCATACCAGTTCTACAGTGCGTCATGCGAAGGAACATACAGGAAACGCACACGCGGGATTATCACCAAAGATGACGAGACAGAGGCTATTTGCACCAACGAATACAGCGATATCTCGCCATTAACCGGAGGCAATGTTGCGTTCAGTACTCTTGAAGGACGACCAAGTGCTTACAACTTTGAAAACAGCGATGTTCTACAGGTTTGTGAATATTATAGCTGAACACCTCTGTAATTTGAACACCTCTTGATTTGAACACCTTTTCTCAGTCCCAATTTTGTAATCTCCCATTGACTCAATGGCCAAAGAAGCCAGATTTTACTGTTCATTTATCGTTACCTCATATTCTTAAATTAAAATATGTTCAGTTTCAATCATCGCTGAAATCAAAAGGATGTGATATTCAAACAAAAGACAACCCCTAAAGTACATGTAGTTCTCAGAACCCGTAAATTAGCCTTCAAAACCTATAGACTATTCTTAAAACCAAATAAACTAGTCTTCAAACCCGTTCACATATTTTCAAAACCCATAGACTAGTCGTTAACAACAATTAACCTGAAACTAACCCCGGCATTTCCTAGAATATAGATAGATGTTGACACGACCTATACTGTACAAATACTAAATAAAAACACAATTTTAACACATGTCTAACATGATATATAGCCTGGGTGTATTCACTCTACAATACTACCTGTCCAAGTTGATATATGCTGCCAAATGCCAGAGAGTCAAAGGTCAAGGTCGAATATTGTTTTATGACTTAATGGTACCTGTTACTTAAGAGCAAAGTTAAATCGCTTGTTAAAAGTATTTTGACTGAAAGCTTAATTAGGATTTTTGCATATTGATCCATCAAGGTATTACATATGACTAAAGGAATACACTGGTTTAACAGTATGGGATGTTTGAGTTAACTGTCAGTAAAGGAATATTCTTCGTGGAATGTGTGTTTGACTCTCTTTATAGTTTGTTGGGCTCGTATATGTTGCCTTTTAACAAATAATCTCCCCACCCCCTGTTCACATACTTTCTTACCATTTATGACCTTAGAAATCCAAGATGATTCAGACGATATATCATATAATGATTTTACCTCCAGTTTGTATTGGATAGCAATGCAATTATAGCATATGAAAATCTGCCCACATTTAAATCTTAATTTTATTCCTTAGTAACAATATTTCGCCATAGTTACCAAACTTTTGGAGGGGGGTGTAAAATGAATATCTTGTTGAAATATTCTTATACTTGAGTTTTGTTATAGGATTGGGTAACGGCCACAGGGATCAGAGTTGTCCTGAATCGTATGAACACATTCGGAGATGAAGTGTTTGGAGACCCCAATGTGCTGCGATCGTACTTCTACGCCATCTCAGACTTTGCCGTTGGTGGAAGGTAGGAATCATTATGTTAATTTTTATATCTTTGGAGGCTGTGACTTAATTTTCATACGAGGAAATCTGTATATTTGAACACCCTATGTTATCCAAACACTTCTCGATATAACCACTTTTTCTTAAGTCCTAATTTTGTAATCTTCCTTTGACTCACATATGAAGAAAAATGAACACCTGATGATTGCTATTTCAAACAATTTTGGCCAGTCCCCCCTGTGTGAGGTGTGGGGGATTACAGGGATTTGTAGCTGGACTACATTTGACATTTGACTCACTCGTGTCTGTTTAAGAAATGTGACAAAAATAAATGTTCACAGCCGACTTACCAGGAATCATCCCAGCATTAAATGCAGCCAGAACACATTGTGGCTGCCTTAATATTTCCATGATCATAGTTGCAAAAAACATTTAAAAAGATCAAAGTACCATATGAAAGAACCAGTCAATCTAGCTTGCAGACCTGTGCTGAGAAATCTTCTTTAGGCATAAGGCAACCTTACGATTTTAACAGTACAGTAAAACCTGTGGGATGTGTAGGTAGGGGGTGGGTCACGGGGGTTTGTAGCTAGGCTAGTGTTTGGACTTTGTTTAGTATAAGCTGATGGGATGTCACATTTGACCAAGTTTGGTATTTAACAGTACAGTAAAACCTGTCAAAGTCGAACACTTTTGGTGCCACTAAAAAGTGTTCCACTTGGGAGGTGTTCCACTCATAGAGGTTCATCAAGTCAGTTGGTCTTGGGATTCTGAAAGGTTTTCCACTAACAGAGGTGTTCCACTTTACAGGTTTCACTGTTCATTGTATATAAGTAAGAAAAACCAGAAAAAAACAGAATGCTTTTATGCATTGAGTTTTGTACAAAGAGAGATGCTGAGATGCTGATATGCATCCTAGCTTTAACCCAAGAACCTTGAATCTTGCATATCTGACAGTTGAGAACTCCCAGTGATAAAAGACTCAAGTATGGAATATATTCTTCAACAGGCCATCTTGGATTTCTAATGTCTGAATGTAGATTTCATATCTTGGAATTAGAGGCTGAAATCCTAATATTTTGGTGTAATGGTCAAGGAATAATGAGACATCAGCTTGTCTATTCTATATTATGTTAATTTCTATGTAAATGCATTTATCTAATAGACATTGCTACGTAATTAATAATTGTAGTCACCACAAATACTTTTATAAAGTTTATGGGAAATGGGAGTCTAACCTTATTGTCTTTGGTTTATTCCAAAGCAAATACTTACATTTTCCTAACCTGAAAATTCTCATCTTATACAGTACATAAAACTTGAGAGGTACTGCAAGGAATAGTATAAATTGGTAATCCCATAATGAAGCAGGGACGGATCCGAAGACTTGGAAAGGGGGCCCAAACTTCAAATCTGAAAAAAATCTTTCTCAATTTTTGGGCCCCTAAAACCAAGCATTTGTCCCAAATTTTGAAAATTTAAGGCCCATTTTCTTGATACTTTAGCCTAAGATGTAAAAACAAGGTCCAAAAAGGCTCAGTAATACCCACGAAGACCCACTAATTGGGCCCTAAGAAATTTTTGGACTCACATTTTTTTCCCACAATGTGATAAATCAGATAGAAAATGTCTATAGATTATTCCAATTCTTCTAGTCCTGAATCAAACTTCCAGAATGGCAAGCCAGGCCTCTCGATTTACTGAATGAAGTTTGAGTTGGAAACTGACCCTACTTTGAGTATATTAGGAACTTGGAAAGAATGTACAAACTAAGGAAATACATAAACAATTAACCCCACAAGTCAGAGAAATGTTTATAGTGGACTCACCAACCTGTAAACTTGGAAGAAATTGACCAGCCGGCTGGAATTCTATTTCCTGACTTGAATGTTTGTTTTAATTCCATAGTGCAGTATCAGAGTACGCTGTAGGCTTTATCTCATTTGAAGTTATATGTGTTTCAGACATCCTTGGCCCAAAAGAATATTTCTTTCATAAATATGGTTTCTTTTCCTCATTTGTAGTCTTCAATCAAGCCATCGTCCCCCTCTCCGACATCCTTGGTCCAAGAGTATTTCTTTTCTCATAAATGTCGTAGCTGATGCCTGATCGAGGAGATTCCTCTCCCATCCTTTCTCTTATATCTTTGCAAGATTAGCTCATTGCTTGGGCCCATGTAGGGTTGAACCTGAAAATTGATGGGAGGGGGATTGGCAAAAAATATTTTTGAAATCCCTTCTTCTGGTTGCTCCTGAAAACCTGAAAAAATTTGATCTTAGTTTTCTTAAAAAGGATGATAATCTCCAAATGGGAGCCTAACACATTTTAAGCATTCAATCTAAAAATCTACCCCCCCCCCCTCTTCAGGTCTGCGAACATTGCTACAAGAATGTTTCAAGTTGCTCCAAAGAGTGCATACATTTTATAAGAAAAATTCTTTGGTATGAGCCATATTGAAATCACAATTGGATATATTGAGGAGGTAACAGACAGAATAAGTGGGTATAAATATGTGAAATTATGAAGTGTGCTATATTTATAAAATTTCCTCCGTTTTAAAGAAATAACAGTTCTTTGTGTCTTTGAAATCTAGTTGTAAACTTATTCTCCAATTTTGTTCATGCTTTACTTTACATGTTGATAATGGTATTAAAGACCTGTGTTTATATTTAGATTAAACCCTTGAAGTCTCTCACAAGTCAATGGACTCCTTTCTCAATTTCTTAATCTTCTTAAAATACTGTAAAGCTTAAATTCTAGTACTTGGTAGATGGCTGAGAGCACTTGCCGATACTTGAATTGGTCGAAAATAAGAAAAATACTTCTGAAAAACCACTTAGATTTTTTATGCATTTATGTTTCAATATTAAATAATTTTGAAGTTTTATTTTAAAGTTGAACTTATATAATCTAATGATGTACTTTCTATTATATGTTAATACAATTTCAGGATCAAAAATACTTTGATTTCTATAATTTTGACTTTGTAGTTCTTTGTATAAGAGATTTGATCGAGGGACTTTCGGCTCTTTTTTCTATTGTTAAATAAATTCAGGACCGATTGGCTTAATTTTTGCATACTTCTGCCATATGCAGTATTTGCCAGTTGTCCATTATGCGATTATTTCATTACATCATAAGCCCAGATTTTATATATAACATAACCTAAAATAACATAATACAAGCTTTTCTTAACACACATGCTTAAGTTTGTACTGTACTCCCATTCGCCAAAACTAACATAACTGACTTAATTCAGAATCTGATAAGCCGGCTCTTGCCTTTTTGATAAAAAACAGAGATTTTTTGTCTCATTTACGTATGTTGAGTCTGAAATTCTGTGCAATATACGATACAAGGGCCGATCAATTTATATTGATAAAGCATGTTTTCATTTTCTTAAAATATAGTACATCTTTAACAATTGTAAATATGATTGTGATATAAGTGCTTTCTTTTAAACAATGTTGTCAGTTAAATTAATTTTATATTTATTTATTTATTATTTATTTATCAATCCTATAAAAAGTATGTACAAAAATGCAGCATGATGAATACCAAGACACCAAAGAGCATATATTGGTATTAATCAAGAGCTTAATCATTCATTTTTCATAATGAGAAAGTCCATTTAGGGTCTGACTTCTGAATGACCTTTTATGGTGTTCCGAAATATATACCAGTATACATTTGAAGTACATGAGGAACATGATGTATACACGAATGTACTTTGGGTATAGGTGGTATATAAGAGGAAATGCTTATGATTTTATGTAGCTTTAAACCGCAGTAATAGACTTAACTCTCAAATGTATAAATAAAAGATTTAGATTGACTGCTTAGGTACCTAAAACCAAAATTGGCCCTTATTTAAACATCCCCCTTGAATTGTCCTGTCAAACTTCACTTTACCTTTTTTGAAGAGTAATGACTATGCATCTTCATAAGAGGGTCTTGTCAAGGTAGAATTTTGTTCGAAGCATTCTGAACATTACATGTTTTCCAATAGTTTTGATTTTGATTCTTAAAAGAGAGCTTCGTCTACCTTATGTACACGCACCATTCAGAGTAGGCAGATAATACAGCTCAGTAAAATCTACATGGATACCATTTCTGAATGTTTGCTTGGACACATTTATCTGTACTCCATATATGGAACTGAAATCTGAAAGTTCTAGCCTTTTCCATAGAGAATACTCTTTGAGAAATGATACCTTGATGAATGTCAAGATTTGAGTTGAAGCCATGGGAAAATATTCTCTAATGGATTTAGAGTGGCCCATTATCAATATAAATGTTCTCTTATCCATCAGTTCTCCCATCATTAGCAGATAGTAGCCTTTTCATAGGAAGGTGACCATGTAGAATTGGCCACCTGGTTACCTGTGCTGTGTAGTAGTGGGAAAGGAAGGGAGGGGGGTAACAGGGGCTTGTACCTAGACTAGTCCCTCACAGGCATTAAAATAAAGAGAGACTCTAATAATCTAGAATTTGGTCCTGCATCCACTGCTTCGCTAAAAAGAAATAGTTCTTGATATAGAGCAGCCCGAAGCCAACTTTTGACAAGGAGTGGGGTCAGTTTCAAATAATTCTTAGGGGGCTCAAATTAGCCCAAAATCACTTCAGAAGTGCTCAAAATCTTGAAAACGGCCTAATTTTTTAAGAATTCCTGGCAACTGGACTGGCAAGGAATCCTGGGATATCAAAATGGAAACTTGTTACATCCCCTCCTTTTTCTGACAAAATATCAATTTTATATATGATTTCACAATTAATATATTTTCCAGTTTCCCACTTAAATTTTTCATATGCTTATAATTAGACTCTCTCTTCAAGTTTTACTAATGTAACGCCACTTCATGAGTTATGTGTAGGTACATACACCTGTGAATACTTGATTCAATGAAATTACATTCAAATATTGTGCCGATATAATATACTGTACTTGGCTTTCATTTAAACCATTTAAACTTTTTAATGGTAATTCAAACTTCTTGAGTATGTTTTTACTACAACTTGAGA